GACGTCGGCTCCTTCCCCAACATCATAATTAACGGTGCGCTCATACTACCCGCCCCCGGAAACAAGGTCCCGGAGTTCGGCAACGTCGAGTCAATATTCGTAGCCAGGAAGACCGCGCCCCGGCGGACATAGTGGTACGCGAGAGCGAGCTTGAAGTAGTTGATGTGGAAGTCCAGACCGACAAGCACGACGCCAACCTCCGGGTCGAGCAGCGTGGAGGCGTCCCCGGATGCTATATCCTTGTAGTCTTGCGGGGTGATTTCGCGCCGGTAGGCTGGGTCGGTGCCCCCGATGAAGGGGACGTTCTCGGACGCGAGTTCTTGTTCGATGCCGGTTTCGCCGATTACGAAGACTTTGCGTTTGTTGGGGGGGAGGGAGAGGATGCGGGAGATGTAGATTGAGGCGCTGTAGGAGGAGGAGAAGATTTCTTCCTGTTCGTTGAGGTTAGGGTTAGGTGGGTGCTTTAGTGTTGAGTGTGATTGACGTACAGTGTTGCTGGGGATTCCTAGCGCTGTGAGCTTCTTGTTGTAGTCGGCGCGCGATTTGGTGCTGTTGTTGGTTACGAAGACGACTTGTTTGCCTGGATGCTTGTTAGCTTTTTCTCTTCGATGGTATTGATGTATGACGGAGGTATACCCTTTCTCCGCAGCATCTCCAGAGTCTCGTTCGTGCCGGGGAAGAGGTGGTCGCCCGACCAGAGGACGCCTGCATGCGCATCATGTCAGTAAGTATGTATGTATGGGTCAGTCGGGAGAGCGCGGAGGCGCATAGGTATGCGACGGACCATCACAGTCGAAGAGGAAGACCTGATGCAATTGTCAGTTAATCTATATTTTGTATACCTCCAGATATACTATCTAGTCAGTAGTAAGGCATAGTGTGACTCACATCGAACTTGTCGAGGAATTCCTGGATGCCCGCAGCGTCGCCGGTCAAATAGCGGGGTGTATGCGTCGACGCGGGGTATTCCGAAGAGAGAGCGGAAGTTGCCATGTTGGCTGTCTATGGTATTCAGTCTATGTCGGAAGGAATAGTAAAAGGGACTGTTTCCGGTTCTAATAAGCAGACGCAAGGAATGACCGAATTGCTTGCCAGAAAGACGAATGACTCGAGCGGCGTACAGCAATCCGGGTCTCGGTGAGAACAGCGAGCGGGCCGCACGTGAGGGGCCGAGGGCGGATATCCCAGCCCTACGAATGAACTACAAAGTACAGTAAAGTTGGTATAGAAGTGATGTGGATGCTTTTAGCTCGTTCATTATTATATCATACAGTCGTAATCTCCAACTCCACTCCGACCAAATAACACATCGAATGGAGCAGCACGTCTGCTGTTTCCCGCGAACTGGTAGCGGCCGCAACTGTATTTCACTGCAACTGTGGACGACGTCGCATATTTTCGCGGTCTTTGCATCCTCTAATATCATCGGGATGCATGGCTTGTCGCCGGCCCTTCCACATCCTACCGGAGGAGTTTCAGCGGGAAAGCACTGTTTCAGAAGTAGAGTAGCCCAGGGACCTCAGGTTCTCCAACCTGATCTAAGCTCCTCCCAGGATGCCAGAGATCTTGAGGGCTATATCCAAGACAGATAGGTGCTCATCTGCACCATCAACCAGACGTCGATCCATATCCGAGAATGCCATAACGATCTTGTTCTTCTGGATATCAGGAATCGCATCGTTGAAGACCACCCGTCGATATAACTACTCAAAGTTAGCATCAATAAACTCCCACTGCGTCCAACCACATACCTGCAAAAGAAGCTGCGTTGCACTCCATCCATCAGCAATGATGTCCGTAACGACCTTCGCAACAGCCTCATAGGAGGATCCGATCTTCTTCGGCTGCATTGCCTGCACCAACGCATCCAATACGCCCTCCGGAACAACACCAGCAATCTCCTCAATCGTCCGAATAGTAATAACCTCCGACTCCTGATCCGTCATTTCCTCATCCTCGTCCTCGTCCTTCTTCCCAGCCCGACCAGCCCCAACCAGCTTAGCCGCACTCTGCATATACGTGATTGCCCGTCGCATATCACCCTCGCTGCAAGCAATCAACTTATCAACAACCCCATCCTCCAACCTCAGATTCTCCACCTTGGCAATATGCTCCAATCTCTCGCCAGCCGCCGAATTATCCAACGCCTTGAACCGGAACTTGCTGCAACGACTAGCAAGCGGCTCAATGATTCGCGTGACGTAGTTGCAAACCAAACAGAAACGGGTGATCCGACTATATTGCTCCATCGTACGACGCAACGCAGACTGCGCATCCTGCGTCATGCTGTCCGCCTCATCGAGAATAATAATCTTAAACGGCGGGCACGGGTATTGCGCCAAGTATTCCTCGCCCAACCCCGTAGAGTGTGTGAGTTGCGCACGGGCAAAGTTCTTGATCTTATCACGCACGATACCGATACCACGTTCGTCGGAGGCGTTCAGTTCGAGAATGCGCGAGCGGTAGAGGGATGGTCCGAAGAGGGATTTGGCGAGGGCGAGGATGGTAGATGTTTTACCGGTACCTGGCGGTCCGTAGAAGAGCATATGGGGGAGCTGGATTCTCGTTAGCAGGGTGTCGTTTCTCACTGACGATGGGATCTATTTCGTACGTTGGAGGCTTGGAGTGTTCGTTGGAGGACTTTTGTTGTGTGATCTTGAGCGGCGACATCATCGAGGGTTTTCGGACGGCTTTGTAGATGTCAGCTCGAGTGCTATATGTCTGGTCCAGTAGGTGGCATACTATTTCTCAACCCATGGTTGTTGCTTGGCTTGTTCTTCCTTGCTATCTGTGGGCTTCGGTTTCGAAGGGTTCGCTGCTGCTGCCGCAGCGCGGGCCTTGTTGTTGAAGAAGTTCGCAGCCATGGCTTTGAGAGTAAGTACCAGACTTCAGCACTGCGATTGATTGATTAATGGTATAGCGGAAGCTGCTGTCGGAGCTCTGGCACACGGGCGGAAAGCGTGTCGGGACGCGTCTCCACGTGATACGCGATGGCGCCAAGCCATTTATTGTTCGCTTGAGGCCGAGGCAGTGATCTACTATCTATAGAGGGATCTAGATTCAAATAGGCAATTGAGCTCGCTGTAAGAAGCTAATGAGCAAGTACGCTTCTGCGCTTGACAGTCATCATCACACATTACTTTCTATCTATAGTTCGTCCTTCTGCTGTGGTACATCCGTCGCTTCAAACATCCTCTTCTTTGGATTCCGGGGCAACTCCGCCTGCCTTTGCCTTTCCTCTTCAGAGATGTCGTCAATGTTGGTCTCCTCTTGCTCCTCGCTTTCTTCCACCATTTTGCCGATCTCATCGATTAAGCGGTCCTCCTCTGCCTCATCCGCAACCGGAACTTGATCCCATACCGCTTCGCCCTCAGCGCTTTGAACGTTCGGCTCCACCTTCTGCTCAACTACTGGGGTCTCTTGCGGCACATACTCGAGCATTGTACTAGGTTCAGAAGACTGAACAGCCTTACTAGTAATCCCAACGACGCCCAAAATAGCAAATGTAAACCTCGCGAACAACCTGATAGGCAGCCAGACAAGCCACCACAAGGGACCGTATAGTATCCGCCTAAAGACAAGCCAAATAATGGTGCCCACCAATATGTAGAAAGCCGTCTCAAGGTACCACGTATCCGACTTTTGCGAGCGGAGCAAAGACCCAATGAGGTTGCGCGACGACGAAATTAGAGAATCGAGATCTGTATAAGATTCTGACAGCGAGGAAAGCGCAGCAGTCGATTGTTCTAACCCAACATTGTTAGCCATTACCACAACAAGTCTTTATGATAAACCAGCACAAACCTAACGTCTCCTGCGCAAACTGACTCCGCGACAGCTCCGCCTGCATCAGCTGATGCGTCCGCCTCAGCGCAGCCGTAACATCATTCGAAGCATTCATAACAATATCATCCTGCGTCAACTTCTCACTCGACTGCTTCTTCCTCTCCGCACTTTGTGATCTCGTAAACAGTAGCTCTCGCTCTTTCCGTCGAGCAACTTCAGCGTTCCGTTTCGCTTGTAATTGTGCGTTCCGGAAGTCTCCTCTCGTTCTGTCATAGACATAGCACACGTATTAGTATATCATCCATCAAGAACAGACACAGAACAATAATTCACTCCACCTACCTCTTCAAATCGTCCGCCAGTCGTCCCGCCAAAGCAATAACCCGTTCCCTCTCCGACTCCTTCTCATTATCCACACCCTTGCGCCGCGTATCCGCTGCAGTCTCCAGAGCCTCAACCTCGACCTTCAGCAACTCCAATTGCTCCTCCGCTTCTTTCAGTCGAGTATGGATTTCCGTCCCTAGTTCCAGTCTAGGCTGATCTCCCTGTCCAACCGCAGTCGTGAAGCCCTTTAACCGAGAAACCAGGGGATGTATATGAGACAGAGCTGTGGAGAGCTCTTTCAAGCGAGCTTGTAGATCGGTGATGCCGGACATTTTGCGTGTGCGATGAAGTAAAAGTAGTAGTAAATATCGCAGGAAAAGTACAATGATTATACAAAAAAGCGCCTCACTACAGCATCCACAAAAGCCTAATCCCCAAACAAATCAAGAAACCGAAATAGAAAAAGCAGGTGAGATTGAGATTGAAGAGAGGGGAAAGAGGCGGAGATGGCCAATGTGTCCGCAACTTACTTTACAGCGTCATCGCGCCCGTTCCTGAGGCCGCCGCCGCCGCCGATCTACCTCCCGTACCACAGCACATGTTTGCATATGAGACAAACACCACCCAGCGACCGACCGACCGCGCTGCGCATCCCGGAGAGCGGACGGATTTGAAGATAGTTGAAGTTATCCGTGAAGGGTGATTATTTTCTCCGCTCGATTCCCCAGAAATCATACACCACACCACGCAATTACCTCAATCACATAGTCAAGTTCAATTGCCTTGACTCATAGAACACATACCACCTTTCTACATCTCCCAACACCTACAAAGTACGTCTCCCAACCCCCATCAAACACCATATAAACTAACAATTCAAAAAAAAGAAGACCCTCCAACCCTACAACAAAACCACCGCCAAAATGACCATCCCTCTCTCAACAATCTCCACCTTCCGCACTACCTTCAACCCTTTCCTTCGCTCCGCCCGCCCCTGCAGACTCATCCTCTCTCTCCTCCGCAATCCCACGACCACGCCGGCCTCCAGCCCCGGCCATATCGACATCAAGGTCACTCAGCTGCCGCGGTCGTCGACGCAAGAGCCCGAGTTGACGATAGGGTTCAAGAATGGCAAGGAGTTGAAGATTGAGGTTGGAAAGCGCCAGATGAAGATTGGGGATGTGGTTGAGGAGATTGCTCGTGTTGGGAGAGCTATTGAGCGTGAGGAGGCGCTGAAGTCTTAGAGTTTCTTTATGTTTTTGATGTTTGTTCTATGGGGTTTGCATGGATTGAGTGGTGTGCTTGCATCGGCATGAAATGAGGTTTGTCGTCGTGGCGCGGAGACTTCACTTGTCCTGTCTACTCGGGATTAGGTGAAAGGTTGCGCGGTATGACTTGGGGGTCTTCAGGACCGAACCGGTGATCATGTCGGTCTGTCTGTACTTTGTACTATCATGTTCTGTATGTGTATGTGTATATATTAGCCATTGAGTGATACTCCATTTCTTTAGTGCTGGGCCCACCCGCTGTCCTTTGGTAGTAGTTTAGAAGAGCCGAAGAGCGCTTACATGTTGGCCGAATACGGTATCAAATTTGTCTGACTATAATTACGATAAACTACGATGAAGAGACCAATATTGCACTTCTGTAAAACTTCCTCTTGGGAATGTGGTATTGTGGTATTTAAATTTTGTTATATAGGTACATTTAGACAGCGGCACCGGAGATGAAGAACCACTTGTCGACGCTGCCGTCGATGGGGGCAGGGGGGAGGTTCTCGCCCTTGGGGATGGCAGCGAGCTGAGCAGCGTCAGCACGCTCGGCACCCTCAACGGTGGTGGTAGCACTACATGCAATTAGTATATTATCTTCCTAGGTCAGGACTCAAGGATACTTACACGCTGATCTCACCACGAGGAGACTTGCCGGAGATGAGCTTCTCCCAGGCGTCAGCGCACTCGCGGATGACATCGAGAGCGTACCTATGGGTTGAACTGTTAGCCTGGATACATATCATAAGGCACCGTCAGCACGTACTTCTTGTTCTTGCACTCGCCGGAGAAAGCGAACTGGTTCTCGGGCTTTCCGTCGGGGATCTTGTAGATACGGAACCACTCGTTGGTGGCGCGGAGGAGGCCAGGGAGGTGGCGCTCAACATCCTCGACGTCGTTGAGCTTAGGAGCCAGGGGGTCGTTGACGTCGATGACAATGACCTTCCAGTCGGTCTCCTCCTCGTCGAGAAGAGCCATCACACCGAGGACCTTAACCTGCTTGACCTGACCGGGGTAGCCGACGAGCTCACCGATCTCGCAAACGTCGAGCGGGTCGTTGTCACCCTTGGCCTTGGTCTCGGGGTGGACGGTGTTGGGGTCTTCCCAGGTCTATGTAAAAGGTCAGTGCGGGGTGGTACAAAATTTGACGTGGCGTTCTTTTACATACCTGGGGGAAGGCACCGTAGTTCCAGAGGTAACCCTTGTGGGGGAAGCAGTTGCGGACGTAGCGGAGCTTGCCCTTCTTCACATCCTGCTTGATGGGGTTGAGGAACTCCTCCTTGGAGATCTGGGTCGCAAAATCAGTATACCGACGTCAAGCTACAGCGTAGCCCCCCACTTGCAAGGGGGGTTGTTGTGTGTATATTGTGGCGTCCGTACCTCCTGCTTGGCGTTGGTCCAGCGGGGGATCTCAACGACCATGTTGAGGATGGTCTGCTGCTCGTTGGCATAGAGGGGGATGTCGTGGAAGGGAGAGACGGGCTGGCCATCCTTCTCAATGTAAACACGGTGCTCCAGGGTGTTGGCCTGGCCGATCTTGCGGACGGTGTAGGACATGGTGGGCGATTGCGGCGGGGCAGCGGAGGTGGAAAAGTGTTTGGATAAAAGGGCAGCACGAGATGAAGCGGACGAAACCGAACGATCAACTCGAGAGGAGGAAGAGGGAGACAAAGCTGAAGCGGAAAGAGAAGAAGAGGAAGAAAGAGGAGGGGAGGGAGAGGAAGAGAGAGAGGGAGGAGGAGGGGGGGCTTGCTTGGTGGGGGGAGCCAGCGTTGCGGATGTGCGAAGGACGGGCGAACAGCCAGTACGCGTGAGGATCGGACAGGCGGTGGGTGGCCGGCTCAATGGATTCGAATTCAATGCGCGGCCTCCAATTTGGACTCCCTTGGATACCCTACGGACCCCCGGGAACATTGAAAATGGCTTTAAGGCTATGCCCGTGTTGAATTGGTTCAATTGACAACCGGACAGAGTGGGAATTCGTGCTCGTTGTCCACGGCGAGGTATAAAAGGGATGGGAATCGATGGAACTGCCACGGTCGGGAAGGAAAATCGGTCGGGAAAAAAGACCCAGCCTCGGGTTCTACTATTCCTTTTTCTTCTTTTTCCTCATGTAATAATTCTGGACTACTATCTGTTCAGCCCGTCCCTAAGTGTGTCTTCAGTACGAAGTATCTGATGGCTATAGCGAAGAGGAAGCTATTCACACCCCTTCTCCAAGTCATACATGAGCAGGCAATATACGTACTCTTTCCAACTCTAGTTCCAACTAGTCATCAACCTGCTCCCACCCTCCATACCTGGCTGGATGCCCACCAACTCTGAGACTTTCGCCGCAGAATGACTGGTCCTGGATGGGTCTCCACCACTGATGGCGTTCCACAGGCCTGGCTTGTGCTGTCCCTGAATGGTCTGACTGGTGGGATATTGCGACATTCGTGGTCCCAAGAATCCAGTAGCCAACCGGAGACCTTGCGATGGACTGACTGGTACTGTAGCCAAAGTTGATGACTGAGGTTGTGCAGTTTATACTCTCCAGGCTGTAGATCACCTTCCACTACACTGCTGCCACACACAGAGTGTATGCAGTATCGTCTATTAAAGCAGTCGAATCTGTCAAATCTGTCACTGCAGTCGACATTCAGCATATCTCTGCGAGCTTGAACACCTGTCATGTTCACGGCTTGGCAGGTACCCGGACGGAGAGAAGACATGCGAAGTAACAATCCATTGTAACCTTACCAGAACCGATCAGGCAAATCCCCATGTGATCAGAAGTGACAGGAACAATCAGAGCCATGGATAAATCTAGAGCTCAGTCTACACTACCAGGGACCGCAATGAGGTTGTGGCCCCTTCCTAAAGGGGTAATATTGCAGTTATCTCCACTGCAAAGGTGATCAAACCCTTTCAATGTAGGTCACATGATATCGACCTATAGCGTATGGAGTAAACCATGGCGTAATTGGCATTTTGTGTTTATCTCTATTATAGTATATCCCTATCACAAGCTGATAGTGAGCCTCATAAACCTTGAACAAGGCGCCCTTTCCTGCCATCGCCTCTACACTCCCCTCCCATCTGTTCCCCGTAGTGCTCTGGTAAAGATCACATGACTTGGCAGGGGAAGAAAAAAAGTTATCGGGTATCGCCACGTGACTCGGCATTTTTCGTCTCCGCCTCCACCGGCTTTGATCCATCAGCGATCTTGGATGCGACTCGATTCATAGTATCACTCTAATACACTCCTACGGGCTCATACCGCTCACACAGCTCGTTCATCTCCCACACTACACTATCCTTACTCCCGTTAACCCGATAATGCTATGCTAAGATTCCTCCGCACCGCAATGGCCTCTATCACCACTCCTCCCCGCGTCCCCATCCCCGCCAACGGGGTCGACTACCGTGGCAAAGTAGTCCTGGCCCCCATGGTGCGCTCCGGCGAATTGCCCTCCCGCCTCATCGCCCTCAAGTACGGCGCTGATCTCGTTTGGGGCCCCGAAACCATCGATCGGGCCATGGCAGGCGCCGTCCGCCGCGTGAACCCCCGCAACGGCACCATCGAATTCACCCGCATGCCCTCCAACGGCGGCCGCACTGAAAAGGCAGGCCAGGAATCCGTGATCTACCGTCTCGACCCCGTCCGCGAGAAGGGCAAACTCATCTACCAGATTGGCACTGCCACGCCTGAAATCGCCGTCGAAGCAGCCAAACTCGTTGCGGGCGATGTCGCCGGTATCGACGTGAACTCAGGATGTCCGAAGCCCTTCAGCACGAGCGGCGGTATGGGTGCTGCGCTTCTCAAGACACCGGATAAGTTGGTTGCGATTCTGGAAGCTCTGGTGAAGGAGGTCGGGACGCCGTTTCAGATCGGTATCTCGGTGAAGATCCGCATCTTGAAAGATCCGGAAGAGACGAGGGCTTTGGTGTCGCGGCTCGTGAAGACAGGCATTACAGGCTTGACTGTGCATTGTCGGACACCTCCCATGAGGCCCCGTGAACGCGCTATCCGTGATCAGGTGCGCATGATTGCCGACATCTGTCATGAGGCTGGTGTCGCATGCGTTATCAACGGTGATGTAACCTCCAAAGACGAAGGCCACGCCTTGATGAAAGAATTCGGCGTCGACGGCGCCATGATCGCCACATCCGCAGAAGCAAACCCATCCTGCTTCCGTACCGAAGCTGAGGGCGGCCTTCTCCCTTGGAAGGAGGTAGTCCACGAATACATCAAATTCTGTCTCGAGTCCGAGAACCGCTTCGGCAACTCCAAATATCTCCTCAACATCCTCGTCCCCGGCAAGCTCCAGGAAGGCAAGAACGCTAAGGCAGCCAGATCCTACGCCGACACATGCCATGCCCTCGGATTCGAGGACCTCCTTCCCCTCGCCATGCAGGTGGACGACATACTCAACCTCACCGACAAGTCCGTTACCATCAAAGACCTCCAGCCCGAACACACCCGCACCAAGGCTGTCCAGAACGCCATGGAGAACAACGAATCCGCACGGGCTGCTGGCGGTGCCTCTCGCGTCAAGTCTACCTCCCCTACAGTCAGCGCAGGCGGACCCATTCGCACCAACTCCATCCCAGCTCCTACAAAGACCAAGGCTGAGGCGGAGACCCAGGCTGATGTCTCTGTTCCGGTTCCTGATGCTGCGCCCCAAAAGCAGGAGCTGACAGCTTAACTCAACCTGATGCCTCTGCATCCCTTGCTTCCTTGCCTTGCCTTTCTTTCCCTGTCTTTTTTGGTTTCCAAGCTACTATCGCATTATCTGGTGTTGTATATCGGTTCCCCCATTTGCTGCATTTCAATTAGATTCCCACGGTGTGTTGTTAATAGAGGCTCTCGTGTTCTAGGGATTATACATACATAGTACTACACGAATATATACGAATCCAAATAGTTGTATCTACTAGCAGGAGGTGTCAGCCATTAGTCGCGCCTAATTGTATTATAGTCATCACAGACACGGTTACTGGCAATACACGCCATCCCAGAAAGGCATAAAACGAGACAAGTCAATTACACAGTGATTCCACTTATCGATTAATCAATCAATCGATATATTACTAGTATCAACGCCCACCTATATATGTAGTATGTAGTAGTATGCGTATTGAAACCAACCACCGAGACACGGGAAGAAAGTAAAGACACAAGAAAAATCCCCAACTCCTTTTCTATTATCGAACAGTAGAAGAAAAGAACAAGAGAAACCAAGACCCAATTGTACCCCCATTTCCTCAACAAACCGAAATGTTCGGTGAAACTGAACTACTAGCAAAACAACTCTCCAGTATCTTCTCCGCGTTGTGTAGGTATGTATGTGTGTGTAAGCACTGCCACTCTCTGTGGTGATGCTGTAATGTAAGGGTGTGTATGTGTTAGGTAGATAGGTAGGTGGAAAAAACCGCAGGGAAACACAAGGTAACGGTCACATGCGAGCAAGCATGGGTTTATCAATCGCTGGTGTATCGTGTATTAGACGGAGGGATGGAGAACATAAGTTGTAGGTTGGATGAAACAAGACAGAAGTTAGAATGAAACAAAATTGCGCCCGATACATGTTTTAAGCTACCATATAGCATATAGTAGCAAGAGTACAAAATAATGTGTCACGTTTATGCGTCATCGGATTTATCGTGCTGCATGTCCGCAAGAACCATATCTTCAACCACTTTCATGCCTGCGTCTTCGGCCTTCTTGGACTCGGCGCCTTCTTCACCGGCCACGGCTTGGTCGAGCGCAAGCTTGGTCTGTCCGAGAGCGTAGATTTGCTCTTCAATGGTTCCCTTTGTCACAAGGCGAATGACTTCCACTTCGCGAGTTTGGCCGACGCGGTGGGCACGGTTCTCGGCCTGGACGTCCTCCTGGGGGTTGAAACTGGAGTCGAAGATGATGACTTTGTTGGCGCAGGCCAAGTTAATGCCTGCACCACCGGCTTTGGTGGAAAGGAGGAAGACGGGGATTTCGGTGCGCTCGTGGAACGCGTCCAGGATGGACTGGCGATCTTCGACGTTTGTCCTGCCGTCCAGTCGAACGAAGCCGATGTGCTGATTTTCGAGGACGTGTTCGAGGATATCCATGACTAGTGTGAACTGAGAGAAGACCAAAGCACGGTCGCCGTTCTCCTTGAACCGCTTCAGAAGATCGCAAAGTTTGTCTACTTTGCCGGAGTCCATCCATTCGTTGTTCTTCAGAGCGAACCTGCCCAGAGAGTGAGGGTGGTCCACGCACATGGTGTGGCACTCGAAGTCGTTGTATGCTTGGAGTTCCTCGTAGATGATATCCGGGTTTGATAGAGACCATTGCTCCTCCTTGAGACACGCCTTGGCCATGCGGCTCAGAGTTGAGTTATCATAGTGGCGCCTGTATAGCAGGGGATGGATGGCGGCTTGTCGGAGCTTCATCAGAATGTTGGCGGACTTGTTACCAGTCTTCTTTCCAGCGGCTCGGTCAGCCAACAGTTTGCGGACCTCTTCTTTCTCATGCTCATAGATTTCGCGTTGCGCAAGGTTCATCTCGCAGTACTCAACATGTGAGATCTTTGCAGGCAAGTCAATGACTTGGTGCTTCTTACGTCGCAAGACGAAAGGCTTTAGCATAGACTTTGCGCGTTCAATCCGTTGCGCGGAAAGGAGAGCCGAATGCGATTCATCCACGGTCTTTGCTTTGTTCGCAAAGATGTACTGAAGCTCCTCCTTGCGTTCCTGGAACACCTTCGGAAGGATGAAGCCCAGCAACGAGGCTAACTCCTGCAGATTGTTCTGCAACGGCGTACCTGTCAACAGAAGTCTGAAACGGGCAGGGATCCTGATAAGCTTCTCGTAGAGCACCGATGTGCTACTCTTCAGCATGTGTCCCTCATCGTAGACGCAGACACAGAAGTCCATGTTGCGGAGGAAGTGGGCATCCACCTTGCCCTTAGCGATGGTGTAAGTGGTGATGATAACGTTGATACTATCTCGGTTGTCTTCAATCGTCTCTCGGATGACTGCCCGCTCTGCCTGACCAGCGTAGTAAGGCATGACGGAGAGCGTGGGACAGAACTTCGAGAACTCTCTGAGCCAATTTTCGATCGTAGACGAGGGCACAACAACGAGATGAGGACCCTTGATTCCCTTCTCGAACAAGTGCGCCAAGAAGGCAATGACCTGGCAGGTCTTTCCAAGACCCATGTCATCGGCCAGGATGCAACTCAACTGATTCTCAAACAGGAGGGACAGCCAATTGATGCCTACGATCTGGTAATCTTTCATCTTCAAATCATCGCGCATGATCCCGGGCTGAGAGATGAAACGGCCTTTGCGCGGTCCAGGCGCGGGACCATCACTATCCTCATCCGAGCGCTGGCTAGCGGGTGTTCCTATCCCGGAATCATGAGACTGAGAGTGGGCATCTCTGGGATTGATGGATACCAGCTCCAGTTCTCCCTCCTTCTTTCCGAAGATGTCCACACCCCATCTCTTCATCTCCGCCGCGACTGGCTTGCCGAGCGCTTCACATTTTGCAACCAAAGAATCCACCGCCTCGTACCCAACCCACATATCAATGCACTTGTCGACAATCTTGTCGCCGATCGGCTTAGGCGTTTTACGGCCACGGCCGCCCTTGGGCTTCGTCTCTTCCTTCGCCGGGGGAGGAACAGCACGGGCACGGTCTAGCGATGAGAATGGTCGGAAGGATATGACGTGCTTCGCAACGTCTTCAGTGATTGCGGCGATGTCGGCAAGGTCCAGGACACTGCATTTGTTGAAGAAGTTCAAGACTCTTGTCTCCACTTGACCATCCCCTGCTGGTTCCTCCACGCCGGAATCGGAATCCTCATCTGATATTATCATAGCCTCAGGGGACTCGGAGCGTTGAGGGGATGCAGGCTTTCGCCCTTGGACTAGACGGCCAGTCTTCTTGGGCGGCGTCTCAGCACGAGGCACAGAACGAACCGGACTAGGGGAAGACGCCCGAGACTTGGGCCCTCTCATTAAGCGCCTGCGCGGTTTCGCGTCCTCTTCCGCTGGTTGTGACGGTTGCGATTGCTGCTTCTGGGCCGACAATGTCCTCTGCATGTTCATGGCAGACCACTTGTCTTGAATGGTTCCGCGCGCCTTAATCTGCTGCTTCGCAGGCGCAACAGGGGAGGCCCGCTTGCTCGCAATCAGCTCGTCCTCGGAAGATTCAGCCTTCTCCGTATCAGCCAGGTGCTCCAGGGCAGCCTCGTAGTTCCCACGTTTTGAGAGAAGCGCCTGCATGCATGCATGCACAGACTTCTGCGGCATGACCTTCAACATCCTTTCCACCTTGACTCTAACTTGATAGTCATCTATGTCCTGCAGCGAAGAAACATTCGTACCCACAGGCTGGGCACGCGAGGGGCCATCCTGTCGAACCTTCTTCACGGCCGTGCCTCTGGGAGCGGGGTCCATTTGAGCTGCCGGGCGCTTCGCACTAGAAGGATTGAAGACTGCGGATGTGGTGATCTGCTTGAACCGATCCATCGGAGACTCCGCGACCTTTTCAGGGCTGCGCGACGATTTGGCGAACAAAGAGGGTTTAATATCTATGCTTCTCGACGCTCGGTCGTCATCATCAGACGAGCCGCCGCGATAGGTCGGGCCGTCATCTTCGAGGTCTATTATGGGCGCACGCTTAGCCGGACCGACAGGAGGGCGAAAGCTGGTGCCAGCCGGGGCCATGGCACTGGAAAGACGACCGCCGTTCGGAGTAGGATGAGAGGGGGAGGAATTCGGACCTGGAGGAGAGGATGCGGCGACCTGAACGAAGGAATTGTTCTTTCCGGAGTAGGGAACGTCCAACACTTGCGTAGGCTGAGTGTAGCGCTGGGTGGCAGGGGTCAAGGATTGAGTTGCGAGTGGCTGGAGATGGCTGACAGGCACGGTGGCAACCGTCTCATATTCTGCTGCATCATCCTTGGTTGGGGTACTGTGAACGACTTTCTTGTCGCTCACGGGCGTATCAGGGACAGTGTCTTCCATGGTCGGTGACTCAAGATTATCAAAGGGAGAAAGGCAGACGAGAGGATGGCGTCATGCCCCGGGGCAAGAGCCAAAGGGGAGCACCGAATTGGGGGAACTTGAAAGGAAGATGTCAAGATCGATCGGGGATCCTCTCGAGGCGAAACGATAAATCGACCGCCTGGGATTTTCTCCGCAAAACGCGCCCGGGACGCGCTGGGGTCACGTGATCTGGCGCTTCAATTAAAGCCGAGGATGGCAGTTGGACGCCAACCCCCTCTTGATCGGGGGGATCAGAGCTCCCTCTTTATATGATTCACCGGTACAAGGCTGGTCTCTTCACTAAGGCGATCCTCTTTCCACCGTCTTTGCCTTTTCTTTTGTCACTAAAAACGCAGCCAGATGTCCCCTCTTGTAAATGGACCAATCAGAGGCCGGTATTGCCTGAACTCCGGAATGAAATCATCCGCTGTATAAAATAATCCATGTCTCTCTACTTATTTCAAATCCCATCCAGACGAACAGTGTACTCGAAAGGATACTGTATACTCTTTAAATAGGATAGGAGAAGCTGTACTTGTTATCACCAATTATATCCTGAACCCTTTTTGTCGATCATCCTCCGGCTTTCACGCATTAGTCCCCGGAAAATCAACACCCAACATCAAACCTGTCAACACCACAACCAACTACCATCATCAACATGGCCACTCGTCGCTCCGCAGAGAAATCTCCTTCTCCCAAGGATGTTGTCGCATCTTCGGGCTCTCCAAAGCCCTCTGACTCAGATGTGACCCCTGCCGTTCCCACGTAGGTGCATCTCATTCGTCCCTCACCAACGAACACTAGGCCACATGGCGGCTATCCTGAACTACCGGTTCAGCCCAACGAACGCATACACCTTATCAATACATATTACGTACATACCACCCCCTCCCTAACTCTAACTAACACATCACCTTCAGAAATGTTATCATGAAACTTCTCGGATTTTCCTTCGCCATGGTCGTCATTCCTATCGGGATGTACTTTGTTACGGTAGACTTTGGAGGTGAGAATCCCATTTACACTCCAGTTACTAACTATCTTCATGTCGATTAACACTTTGGAATAGCAAGCCCCACAGTCGGCGGCATTGTGGCCGCCATCATGGCTAACGTAGTTCTCGTCGCATACATTTATGTTGCGTGGAAGGATGATCAGGCGGAGAGGGAAGCTGACGCCAAGTATAAGGAGAAAAAGGCACAGTAAATGGTACAGCCACTCTGTCTTGTTGTCTTTGTTGTTTTCCTTTCATTTTATTCCTGGCTCTGGGGGCCCTGTATTGCAGAGATGGCGTTCATGGATCGCTCTGTTTTCGCATGCTAGGTATGTACTTGTCGTATCGTTTGTCTTGAAAGCTATGTCGGGATAGTATGTATGTAATGGTTTAGGGAAATACTCTGAGTGTTATGATACCTTTCGGGTTCCTGGGTGTGTGATTGGTCACGGTTACCTCAAGGCATACCATGCCAACAATAAGGCAGATAATACACAGCCTGAGTGAATGCCTCCAATCTGATTTCAACATTAAGATGAGCCATCCTGGCGAGTAATATGTTCAATTCAAATTACATATCTGCGCCTTGAGATGCACGACATCAACAGCAGATCCGCAGCAAGCATTCCATTATATAATGCAAAGTATGAACAAAAAAAAGAAGCCCAGAAAACCCATCATATGCAATCATGCAACCACTTAATTCGGTCTCCGCTTCACGAACTCAGCCAAATCCGCCTTTGTCGCAACACCCAGCACGAACTTGCGCGACACATCCGTAACTACAGCGAAATCCTGCTTAGCCCTCTTCTCTCCGTTAGGACCGGTTTCACTCTCGAAGAACTGCTCCAGCTCCTCCAGCGGTGTCTCCATCGTGATGACCTGGTATGTGCCCTTCTTGCGGTTGAATCGCTGCATGGCGGCAGAGACGGGGTCGTTTTCCTTAACAGTGCCGTCCTTGAGGAGCTCCTTTAGTCGGGGGATGCTCAGGTATCCGACCAGAGAGCGTTTCGTCGAGGAGGTAACGGTCAGGTGTGTGTAGTCACGTTCGTAAGCGGCCATCAGGGCGGTGGAGATCAGATCGTCGGGGGAAACGGATAGGGCTGGGTTGGGGTCCAGATCCTCTACTGTCGCCTAGTATGCCGGTGGTATGTTAGTTATTTTGTTTCTGTTGACTCTTGCGAAACATCACTGGTAAGAAGCAAGCGGACTCACCCCGCGGTATTTGTTTGCCCATGCGGACTGGGCGATGGGTTGCTCTGCATTTTGTGCGAGTTGTTGCTGGGTCAGCGCCTCACTGGCGTTCATATAGGAGGCCATGTTCGCTGCGTTGGTGTGTTGGGGTTGTGTTGGTGACGGTGGTGGTAGTGGGAGTGTTGGTGATCAACTTATCCCGCAGTGACTCGATGAGGGGCACGGGAGGGAAGGTTCCGAGAGGACGGTCAATTGGAGACCCTTGAAATTGTCAAGATAGCTTTTGAGGGTTGCGTTCAGTAGTTTAGACACAACTTTCCGCGGTAATCAAGTGTTTCAGAGGAATAGAGAGCCGGAGTACTGAGTTACACCCAAAAAGCATCAAGCACAGGTTGAGGTTGCTCCAATCAGATTAAATTTCATCGCTTCAGATCAACCAGTTGGCGGGATCCCCGAAAGCGGTTAGTGCCATCACGCGACGTCAGCGGCACCATCACCGACTGTCAGATACCACTCAGAAGGTTCCTTGGCTTCCTCTCTCTGGAGAATCCTTTTTTGTTGGAATCAGACTGTCTTCTGAACTCTGCGTCGATTTCTTCAATCGAAGGAGACGAGAATAGGTGTGGACCTCCGTTCTATACATCGTCATCCGTCCGACTATACTGCCGATATAGTGTTGTAAGTGGACCCGCTTGTATAGATAAGGAACCACCGCGATGCAATACCGCCATTATACTTTATCGCAACCTATTTAGAACCGCTTTAACGCAGATAATAACAATTATAGGTAGAAGTGCCCATCATGTTTCCTTCTGGAGGGGATATCGCTCGCGCCTTCGCTTCCCAAAGCCCTCTGAGCCAGTCTCAGCAGACCCAACAGCCGGAAGCTGCGGGCTTGAAGAGACACCAGCCGTTCCCCGCCTGGAACGTTGTCGAGGACATCGAAAAGAAGGCCGATGCTATCGCTAAGGAAGCGAGCCGAGAGTTCGAAGTTGCGAGTCAGAAAGCTCAAGCCAAGACCGGCAAGATCGAGCCATGGACTCCTAAGTACTATGCTGCTTGCACGGTTGGAGGAATGCTTGCTTGCGTAAGTGGATGTTCCATTCTGCTAATGAACGCTGTATAGTGGCCTATGAATACTAATTCTTGGCTGGTCCTAGGGTCTCACCCACACCGCTGTGACGCCTCTTGATTTGATCAAATGCCGCCGTCAGGTCGATCCTCTGCTGTACAAGAGTAATGCAGAGGCATTCCGTACAATTCGCGGTGCAGAGGGTCTCCGCGGAGTTTTCACCGGTTGGGGTCCCACTTTCTTTGGATACAGTGTAAGTCAAGACTGGATCGCATGTGTTGCGCCCTCTAATTGAGTACAAGGCCCAAGGAGCGTTCAAATATGGTGGTTATGAGTTCTTCAAGAAGTTTTACAGCGACCTTGTCGGGGCTGAGAACGCAGCACGGTGGAAGACTTCTCTGTACTTGACCGCCAGTGCGTCGGCGGAGCTTATCGCTGATGTCGCCCTGTGTCCGTTCGAGGCCGTCAAGGTGCGCATGCAGACGACTATCCCACCTGATATTCGATCAACATTTACTGGTATCTCTAGCGTGGTTAATAAGGAAGGTGTGGCCGGGTAAGTGCTGCTAATGCGAGCGGTCGATCCCTAGTAGCTGACTGCAGCAGCCTGTACAAGGGTCTCTACCCTCTCTGGGGTCGACAGATCCCTTACACCATGATGAAGTTTGCGTCTTTCGAAACGATTGTCGAGATGATCTATAACTCCCTGCCGGGCCAAAAGTCTGACTACAACAAGGGTGCGCAGACCGCCGTTGCCTTCACCGGTGGTTACCTGGCTGGTATCCTTTGCGCCGTCGTGTCGCACCCAGCAGATGTCATGGTCAGTAAGTTGAATGCGAACCGTCAGGCCGGAGAGGCATTTGGAGCAGCGATGAGCCGGATCTACAAGGACATTGGCTTTGGAGGTCTCTGGAACGGTCTTCCCGTCCGTATCGTCATGATCGGCACCTTGGTAAGTGCATCGGTACATGTTTCTCAGATCATGACTGACTTGTTATCTCCTCTAGACCGGACTGCAGTGGATGATGTATGTGTTACTTCAGATCTCCAGTATGCCCCTCTCGATAGACAGCGGCTGACGTTTTGCAGTTACGATTCGTTCAAGATCTTCATGGGTCTTCCCACGACTGGCGGTGGCCCTCCTGCAGAGAAGAAGTAATATGGAAGGATTGTCCCGCCGGGAGCTTAGATCCTTGTCTAACACGAAGGGCCGGACACTCTGTAGAATGTAGAATACAGTGGCCGTAGTATGGAGGCGGGGTGTGGGGTTGTACCGTACCTGATTTCGTGCAGCTTTCTTCCGATTTAATTGAGTGGGTAATTTACTTACTAGTTTTCTTCGTGCAATGGTGAACCACTTTTGTCTTTTCATGAACCACATTTAATTGAACCCTGAGCCGAGGCCGGTGATAAAAGCAGCTGAACTGATAACCCTTAACTGGTAGAGATAACATGAAGCTACTCATTTCTTAGTAACAATTGGCGGGCCCCAAAATCGTTAGTCACGCCTCGGACCAATCCGGACAAGCATCTTATCGGCGCGTCGACGTCATCGGATGCCGTCCCGATCGTTTCCTTCTTTTGGTTCCTTCGATAACAATCATCTAGATTTATCCCGATAATGATATTCACTGAATTAGCTACTAGACTAGAACTTCCGGCAAATTTAACTTTGACTTCCAGAGCGCACCCTCTGGCTTGGCCCGCTGTGGCAGTGATTGCGCCCAAGAAAAGCGCTAAGGTAGTCACGCTACACCCTACTAACCCCTGTGGTACATAATATATCTATACGAACCATCCCCGGGAACCGCCACTTTGCACTCTTTCTCTTTCCCACTTTCATTACTGTCTGGCTAGACTTGGTGCACACACACGCTCGTCGCAGACTCTTGGCTACAGCGTTCTTATCATCGCATTGAATCACTACATCAATTCAATAGACAACACCACTCGAACAAAAACTACTACTTACCCTAACTACTGCACCATGGGCGAACACGAACCTATTGTGTCGCACGGCCGTGGAGGTGCGCATCCCAGCTCCCTCAAACCACTACATTAACCCATCTCTAACATTCCCTCCCCAAACAAAACAGGCCAAGGAAACATCGGCGCCGACTCCACCGAGTATGCACTACACCCATTCACTCATCCCCCAAACACCCCACCACCACAAAACCCCAATACTAATCATATACATGAATATGAAGATACGTCGACGGCGGCATAGTCCGCGAAGGAATCTACGGTGACCAAGGCGACGGCGCCTACTCAGCCGGCGTAAGCCATCCCCACCATACATCAATCCATCCGACCTCCCAAACCACCAACCACTATACTAACTAATTTACTCTAAAGAGAGGCGGCGCCGGCAACATCGGCTCCCCGCACGTGCGCCCAACATCCAAGATCCCACACGACGCGGAGATAGTTCCCGAATTGGCGATTCGGCAGTCTGTCGATGGGGATTATCATACTGGGGTATGTTTATATCCCTTTCATTTATTCCTCTATCAATTCATGCAGGGAATGAATGCTAATGAGTGGTGATGGTGGTGCGATAGCGCGGCGGTCAAGGCAACGTGCACCTCGACGAAGAACATAAGAAGGAAAAGGAGGAGAAGAAGCATAAGGGGCCTGCGCATGAGGGGTTGGCGGATAAGTTGAAGCATAAGTTGTTTGGGAGGAAGTAGATCACTTTCAACATTGAATTGGATGGTTGCTTGGGGTGGAGGATGAGGTGAGGAGTGTAATGGGGTGGGGAAGGGTGTTCTATTCTTATGTTGTTGCGTCTGATTTGAGATTCCCTGTTGCTTTTTTGTTTCATGCTTTGATCGCTAGAAGTAATACATCTTTCTTTTCTTTTGGTTCTTCTATGATGTGGGGCTCTTTTTCTTTTATTCTCTCTCAATGGAGATAGCTACTTCAGATTACTGGAAGTGTTTTGACTGACTAGTACGACCGATATACACTGGTCATTACTGGATATCTATTCAGTATTGGACAGCAAGTATGAAGGTATTCATCACCCTGGTTCAGTCACACTACCCTACCATTACTCACAACTTCACCCGTATCAATCAACATCTTACTGGCTAGTATCTCATGCACTGTCATGGCAGAGAAAGAAAAAGGTAAGGAGGAACAGAAAAAAAGGCATCCATGTATCTTGGTCTCGTCAACCGCATGCAAAGATGAAAGAGTAAAATAAAAGTTGCAATCGAATCCAAACCCGACACAGTCCGTCCCGAAATCCCAGTTGCTGTGCTTGAACATGACTCTTGAACGCCGCGGAGGTAGTACACCCAGACAAATCGGATCAGAAAACACGCATCGAATAGTAAGATAAGCAAATGTGAGGAGCCGGCTCACAGACGACTAGTTCTTGCTGAAACGACGCTTGAACCAGCCCTTTTTCTTCGAGTCGTTGCTCATTTCAGAGTCATTCGTAGCCTTGCGGAGATGGCGCCGGTTGGCTGTGGCAGCGACGGCGGCACCGCCGCCAACAGGGCCACCGGCGTTGGGGTCAGCCGCTGGCGGTTTGCTGCCAAAGTTGATCCGTCCCCCAGCGCCAGCTTGTCCGTTCAGATTCGGCCCGGCACCAAATCCTTGGAACCCATAGTTTTCGGCCATCTGCTGCTGCTGTTGTTGCTGCTGTTGGAACTGATCAATGGAGCTGTTCACAGAGCTAGGGTCGGTGGAGTTGCCGTAAGCGTCGGTGTTGCTGCCAGAGCCCGAGCCAGACGCTGCGGTCATGTTGTCATATGATTTGTGATAGCCGTGTTGTGAATATCCACTTTGGTCGGTGTTCATCCGTGCATGGTGGCGTGGTCGCGGTCGGCCGCCGCCTTGGTTGTAGGGGTAATAGTTGTCAGACTGGCCATTACCATTCTCGACATAGCTGTCCGGTCGCGAATAGGCTCCGCGACCATTGTAATGGCCGCCCTGATCATAGTGGCCCCGGTGCGAATGGCCGTTTTGCGCTATACCCAAACCTTCTAGTTAGCAAACCGTCCTCTCTCGAATATTACAATGGACATGTTGACTGTATGCCAAATCGCAATACTTGTGGGATTGAGAAATACCTCCAAAGTAGCTTCCCCGCCGACTGTGGTCTGGCCCCGGAGTTGCAGGAGTCGATTCTGTAATGCATCGTCAATCAACCGCCGGGTCGAGCAAACCGGAGTAAGGGGTGACTCACCTGTCCTTACATACGAAGCAGGTCTACTGCTGTATGTCCCATAAATTGCCGCCTCAAAAGATCGGATGGTTTCAAGCGGACGTTCAAACCGCGGGCGCGTGGGGTTAGAGAGATCGGGATCAGCTGTGAGAGAAGAGGAGAGCAATCAGCAAGATGTCACTCAGGATATATGTCCAACCAAAGAAGCATGGTATACGAACTGATAATATTTCCATACTGATCTTTATGCTGCATGGTCCGTAACGAACCCAGCGTCGACTGCTCGAGAGCAACCAAATCTGGGGAAACGAGTCAGTTTGTATGCTTGTGGGAAGTAAATGTTGCAAATTGGAGGCAGCATAATGAGAATGGAAGGATTGGGCTGTTTTGTTATGGCAGGCCGAAATCCAGGAGTGCAATAGGCAGAGAGATAAGGGGGGAGTGTTCCGGATACGTACTAGGTTGCGCTTCGCTCATAGCAACCATGGGATCGGCTTTGGAATGTAGTTGGCGGCGATGTTTCTCGTCTGAGGATTCCGATATCTGGGGCCTTTTGCTGGAATTGCTGGACCGTTGCGACCGATCCGACTTTGCACCCAAACTGAAGCCACGAGATTGCCTGCCAGGAGGCACGGCCGGCTGGGAGGTCGCCATTTTATTTATCACCCCGTCGACCTTAGCGCCTGATAACCAACAGCTGGAGCAGGTTTTCGCAGGACGCTGTCTAAGCTATGGCGCCCGTTGTGGAGCGCAAGCACGATCCGGTGTGGAAACCGCCAAGGAATGTATGATGATCGCGCGCGATGATTCTCGGGCTTTTTGGAGCGTGGTTTCAGAATGCAGCCAGGAGGCAGCCAACGAAACTAAGCAGCGCAGGCAACGTGGGGGGCTGCTTTTTTGATGGATCCACGAGCGGATATTCACTCGGATGTCTGATGTCTGTCCCAATATTCTGGGGAAAGTCTAAAGCACCGAAAAGTGTGGAAAATGTCGCCCAAAGTTGGAAGAAGTATCAACTCCGCAATTTGTCTCTACACACAACGATCCACGCCGTTTAAAAGAATAATCAAAGTGACACCGAAGGTGGGGAAGTGTGGCAGGCTTGAAGCACAGCTGTTTGTAGTAGTGTATCGTCCGATCAAATCGACCGACCAGAGCGTCCGTAGGTTAAGCGATAGTGACTGCAAGAAGTTGGTCCATCCGCAGTGCGCTCAAAGTGATCAACAGTAAGGAAGATGCGATAGCCTCAAGCTAGAGATGCCAAGACAGTAGGTTAGTAGGGAAGAATGTAGGTACTATGTAGGAAAGATGAAGATGGAGATGGAAAGTAGTAGGAAGCGAGCGAGCAAGCAGGCAAGCAAGAAAGCACCACTCCAGTCGACCGTGCAGATGGAAGAGGAGAAAGTACAAACGAACGTGTGAAAAAGAAAAGCAGGTGGCAGTCGGCAACCCAACAAGTACTGAACTACTACTAGAGAGAATCGGGGAGGGCCATTGAGGCCTTTTGACTTGTACGGGCCCGGTGGTATTGACGACAGGCGCCACGCAATGAAGAGGGGAACGCTTGTTCGAACCGATGGATGGACGATTGCAAGTCGTCCTATCAGCTCGGGTTGGACGATGGCGTTATAGTCAAGAGCCACTCGGCCAGAAGAATCTAGACGATCACCGGATGCCTGGAAACTTTCCCTGATGTTTGCCCGTTCACTGTCCGGAGATCCTCTTCCCATGGAACTTTCCTCTTTTTTCTCTTTCAACTTTTCATCCTCCCGTTTCTCTCCTGGAAGTCAATTCATTTCTAAGAGAACAAATGACAAATACGCATTGCATTCAATTCTTCAAAACATTTTCATCTTCACTTCTCCATCTGTCATGCCCAGCATTTCCCCACCAAGTTCAAGGCAGCGGGAAAAGTAAATCCAGTACCAGCTCGACTGGAAATAGAATTACCCTCGTTACCGTATCTTGGCTGGTGAACACAAAAAGAATAAAAAGACCAAATGCATAAAAACACCGATAGTGTTACGCAGCTTTCCCCTCTTCTCGTTGCCTACTGGCCAATCACTCGTTGTGGGATGGCCCAGCCACCCAGCGAACTCTTTCTGGTTGGCTTCCTTTCCATGGACCATCTGTCACCGTCTCAGGCACCATACCCGAAAGGAAAAGGAAACATACTCTGCGGTCACTGAAGAACAGAAACAAAAAAAAGTAAGCAAATGATTTTGGTACTAAGAAAAGCATGGAACTTGTTGTGTGTGTGTGTGCGATGGCTGCGATGACTTGTCGACTAGGATGCGCTGTCGCAAATCCCATGTCACCAGCCATCTCTTCCCGTCTGATCGTCCTGCTTGCACAATCGGAAGAAATCAAGCAAACTTCAGCCCTTCGCACAGATCGGCTGCCGTCGACATCATCCATGCCCAAAAAATGGGCCAGGCAGCCCAGGCAAGCCACTCCGCAGTTCTGATAACTTTTACACTATCTTGACTATCTTTTCACTTCCGGGTGGATTATCCCGGCCGTTGATTTCCTATTTTTACTCGGAATACACCAAAATGGTTTAGTCGGTGGGAAGACTGGCCGGTACGGCCAGATACGAGAATACGACTTTGAATCTCACCCACCGAGACGGTGGCATATCACTACGTACTCTTAAAATCTTTATCCAGATTCTCTCTAGTTGCACCAGGGAAGCACACCTTCTGTTATCCGTGGCCTTCCAATTGGCCCACCAGCACCGCAGAATGAAACCTGGAATATGTCTGCCTGTCTCAATCGCCCCTCCACTCTGCTGGGCGGCGGCGTTACATGTCTGACTTTGGCGGTCGTTCCAGTCCAATCCCATCCATTCAGTCCGCCAGACAGCCTCCCACACTGAGACAACTAACCGCCCTTTTGAGGTTGGCAGTCGCTCTTGGCTCTGCACATCTGGCAGGCTCATACTTAGGCCTGCAAACTTACAGGAATTAAAAATAGCCCATGCATCCCCGAAATTAAGAAGATCAATGCATACGCGCTTGAATGTTTCTGGAATTATTTAACCGACTTAGCGTCGCACACGTTGCGATCAAGCAAGGTACCTCCAGCAAGGAACAATACGCGAAGGAGGATCTTGGCTCAAAACTCGCGCAAGTGCAAGCAACTCAACCTGTAAGCCAACCTCTTAGTAACCTACAATCTACTCCATACTATGTAAGAATTCTATCATTCCGGCCGAGGCGATCTGTCGATCCCCATCAGTCCTTGTAAGTGGGTCATTGGGGGCGGGGATGGCGCCTACTTTAATTACTGTTAATTCGGGATCGTGACAGAATCTCCATGCAAGGAGTTTACCCTTCCAGAACTTCCCTCATTCAGCCTTATTGACCGCGCTGCGGAGATAGCTCGCACAGTTAAGTGCTAAGCTTCTGATATCATATTCAAGGGCCCAGGGGCATACTGTGACGTCCTTCATTTGTTGAAATGCCCCTAATCTGACGAAACCCAACCCGGATATATACCGTTGGGTGGGTGCATTCCAGAACGAGTCAAAATAACTTCAATGGTTTGATCAGACCAATCACGACTACAAGCTGGGCCCGGAGAATGCTATCGGCGTACTGACATGCTAAGAATCTACAATGGACATCTTTACTAGAGAATGTTCATGTTTTTGCATGGGTGCCAGCCATCCCAGCCAGCATTAGCGTTATCTGATCAGTTAGCATAAGACCGCTATTTCACCATTACTTTTGACTGCAAACAATGCATTCTGTGACATGCCCCAATCTGAGCGCAAATTGAGGCTATACTCTTTCAAGCTCAGCCAAGCCATATACAGTTTGATTTATGAAAGCAAAATTTATACTGTTCATAATCTCCTCGATACCAGCATGTGAAACTTGACCTACTTTTTAACCATATAACACAATCATCAGTAGCGGTCACAGGGGCTGCCATAGTCTTACTCAACTCTGAATCGGTATAAAATGCTCTTAGTATATATTTCCTTCTGTAAGACCTAGAAAATCGTATTATACTTCAACTAGAGACCTGCAGCTCTCCTACACAAGTAATCATCCCTAAACAAACATGTCAACATCTGCTCGGTCCCCCTATAGCAACTACAACTCTGAATTGGAATTACTTGATCCACTAATATATTATATACATATTGCCCCTTGAACTATGCTCTCGCTCATTGCGTGTTAGAATTGCTAGCATGAAATTCTACCAGCACATCCGGTTCCAATTCCATACCCCCAAGCTTTTCATTCAGAATATATAGTATCACCACTACTTCTTGCAATTTAGTGGCACTAATGTCCACTCTATTCCTCTCATCGATACCATCCATAGTGCATTAAGTCTTACAAAAATATCTAATGACAAATAGCTAGGACAGAGAAACCAAACCGTCAGATTCAGGTTATCACGGCAGCCCCAACTATTACTATCGAAGAACATTGCCTAAAGCGGCCCGACATTCCAAAAAA